CCCCAAAACCCCAAAACCCCAAAACCCCAACTCACCGTAAGATTTTGAATATTTTCGGTGAATATTGATAATTGATGCTCACTTCTGGCCATTCGTTACTAAAATGTTTAGCAATAGCTGGGAGAATAAAGGGATGGTTGCTAGAGGGTTTAGATGGTGAAGGGGAGTTGGAGAGCTAGTTTATTGGGAGGATTAGAGGTAGATTTTGGAGAAGGGGTTTGGAGGAAGAGGAATTTTAAGAAAAACTTTAATTTTGGGTTTTATGGGTGAGTTAGAGGTGAAAGGATGACTTTAAGTAGGATAGATTTGAAAACTATATATTTGGAGTGGTCTTAGTTTTCTGGGAGGCTTTTTGAAGTGAGAAGATGGTAGGAATTCAGGGATAAAAATTCATAACTTTAGTGTCTAGCATTTAGATTTCTAAAAGTATTCTTTGAAGTCAGAACTATAATTTTTCTGCAAGTTATATCATACTCTTAAAGACACAGAAATGTTCATGATGTGATTCATGAATTGTAATAAGAGTAATTTTATGATATGTATACAAAATTTTTAAAACATTCATAAAGGAATCACAACTTCCGAAAATCTTGGATAACCAGATTTTTGTCCCAACACAAGCAATGAGCTTTCATAATGATACACCAACTTAGAAATAAATTAGAAATGATTGCACAAACAAGAGCTGGGCAATTCAACAACAATATTGGGTCTAAAATAAGGAAGACTATTCCTTTTCTTTGCCAAAATTATCTTAAATGAACCTCCAATTTATCCGTATCAATAACTTTTGAAAGCTTATGTGTTTCAATGCCTTGAAGATCTCTGGACTTTGGTTGACTATTAACAGCTAGACAGTCTATAAAATTCATAGTCTTATAAAAATATCTCACTCATAATAAAATCGCCAAAAAGTCGACTCAAAATGTTTGGCAATATGGAGTCAGTTCGACCTTCAAATTTATGAGAAAAGACATGATCATAGATCTCAAGTTACCTGATTCGGGCATCCTTGATCTTTCATGCTCCAGAAATTATTGAGGAGATTTTGAGTATTATTCTTCTCGAAATCTACTGGATTTTTAAGAATTTTTCTAAATGAAAGAGCATTATTAGCTTCTAGACTTATTATTTCACCTAAAAATACTGATATGTGTTAGCTGATAGTTTACCAAGTAGGTAGGATACTCAGACCATTTTATAACTCACAGTAAAAGGTCAAGCCCTTTTGGAGGCCATTATTGGTCTGCCCCACAATTAGAAAGTTAAGAGCTAGCCCTTAGCGTATTTTATAGTAATCTTGATAAATTTAGGCCATTTAGAACCTATGATTTGGATACTGATAGTTTAACTCTATGAATAATTCGTATTCAATAGAGATTTAAGAAGACTTATAGCTACAATAGTTTAATAGTTGATAGAGGATGGTTATCAACACGTACAAAGAGCCTGAAAGCCAAGAAATCCAAACAGTAAATTCAGTATTATTTGGAAGCCTCTAATGGGCATTTTCATTATTTATTGCTAATTGCTCATAAAGTCATGAGATATACTTAGACATAAAATTTTATTTCAGAGGCTCTACATCAAAAATTAATAATTTTGAAGGCACAAGGAGGCTATAGCAACTGTAAATTATAAGCAATAGCGTTAAATAACGTGAATCCTAATTGGACATATTTCGAAAATATAGTAAATTATGAAATAGGAAATTTTCATAATCCCCAATCCCTTAGACTAGTCTCACCACAAGTGATACATTCACTCTATGCATTCTCCAATGATCCAGAATTGAAGGGAGTGTTATCTCTCGATGTTCACTTGGATAGATAACTAGTGAAGCACCATTATGAGGTTTTAAGACGTTGGAATTAATTCGAATCGAGCTATGAATTCATTCCCACTAGTTTGGAAGGATTCCTCTCATCCTGTTTATAGTCTCAGCACTCTATAAACACCAAACATAATTAGGAAATGTTCTTTACTTTCAGTCATTAAAATTTTTCGAATTAATCTGAATCGAAGTATTGGCCAAATCTTTAAATTTCTGCTAATTAGGGTCCCAAATCTTATTTTTCAATAATTCTGGTTATTTTATTAAGCCTAGGCTGAGCCTTAAAGGCCTTCACATTTTGGAGAATAATACTTTACTACCAAGGCATCATCGATCTTCTAGAAGTCTTGACTTGCCAAACAGGAGGATTTCGAACAAAGTATCTGCATACAGTTGAAAAAGATTGAGAGCTCTGGAGATGATCCTTTTGCTCCAATTACTCTAAAATTTCATGAAGAATCATGCTAAAAATGAGTACTAATAACAGTCTAACTCTTTTCCCAATAAAGTTTCACACTTCATTGAAGGAAGAAAGCGACGCCAGAAGGATCCACTGATCTAACTGCAACACTATAATTACTCCAGTGTCCTCTCTAGGCAGAATTTGAGGTGTCGAATTAACCACAGACAGTTGTTTCAAAATCGAACTAGAAATTTATATTTTTCGTAATCAACTCCAACATTGGAAATGAAATATTAATGCCCAGTGGCAGTGATTGCGAGAAAGAGTAACAGCTTTAAGAGTCATTGCTTGGAGTCTCCAAGAAATATTAGTTTGAAGCTCATAGACTACCACCCCAGTAACAAAGTATGTAGATATTGTCCTTGTTACTATTTAAAGAATTATTTTTAGAGATAATTAATAAATTTAAAAACTATTATGGAACCTACTTATACACACGATGTGAAAGGAAACGCTGACGAGCTGAAGGATTATAACCTTATACAGGGCCATCCTCTATTCACTAGCAATAGCATCCAACTTGATGCTGCGAATCTGCTGGAAATGTACTGATTTTGCGATTATAGTCTTTCGGTGTACTGACATTGAAAACCTTCTTGCTCTTTCGGTGGTGAAGGTATAGACTTTAATGCTCCAGGATGGAGTAACAATGAAGACCAATTGGTACTCTCAAACAGGACCCAGACCAATAATTCAAGAAGGTCATTATCAGGTGGAAATAGAAGAGTCTATCTTCGAACAAAATTAGAGTATTTGTATAATTTCTTGCAGACTGTAGAAGACTCTTCAAAAATACTTGTGTATGGAAAACCTAAAGTAAACTGCAAACTTCCAAGAATTAGTTCTCGCAGGTCTCACTACACCGGGGTGTTTAAAAATAATCTGAGATGGCAGGCTTTCATCAACATTCGTAACAAGAAAACTTATATTAAGACTTGCACTACTCAAGAAGAAGCAGCTAGAGCTTTTGACTGAATGTCTCTTCTTCTTAACAGAAAGAAGGCTGTGACCAATTACAATTATTCACAAAGTGAAATCTATTCGCTTTTTGATGACCATGCTGACATAGTTAATAAATTTTGCTCATAATGATTTCTATAGCCTATACTCAACATGGGGTTTTGGGGTTTTGGGGTTTTGGGGTTTTGGGGTTTTGGGG